ACAATGTCACTGACCTCAGCAATATTTTTAACCTATTCACGTATCATTTCAAATCAACGACTCAGTGGCTTATACATAAATAAACTAAGCTGTAAAATCAAATTACTTTTGCCATAGTGTTATTTATAAAATAAAACAATTGAATTGTGGGAAGACAGGAAGAGGTATATCCATACAACCATGTCTTCTTGCCTACTTGATTATTTCTGAATTAGGTAGAAAGAATATCAAAGGTTATGCCACATAATGAAGTTTTATGCCTGATTGAAATCTTAGATATAATGAAGTTTAATTTCCTCATATTTCCAATGAAATTATTAACTAGTAGCTTTAAAAATTTCTCACGGTTATAGAGAACTTACTGCCACAATTCTGACTGTAGTTCAATCTTTCTGATACCTAGTCTAGATTTATTTTGTTTTTAATTTCATGTTTCAGACTCATGAATCCAAATAAATTAAACTGATCTCAAACATGTTTAGTTTCCTACAAAGGCCAGTAAATTCAGTTACTCACCTTCAATACACACAAACAAAAATATCTAAAATATACTGTATGAGAATCTATTTGCAGTCAGCAGAAATCTGTGATAGTATTAACTCAACAGTACTGCGTAAAGATCAGTTTGTCAGACAGCTTGTAGTTCTTTTATATTTAAAACTACTAACGCTAATGTTCTGAAATGAATTCTCTTTTGATAAAGCAACATAAGAAGTTGTAAGGGAATAATATTTTAATATAAATTTGTGTGGTTATGTTTATGTAAGAATCATAAGATCAACATTTGATAATTATTTTAACCTGTCACGTGTAAGTACTCATAACCAAGGGCAGGCATAGTCTAGGGGAAATCTAAGTTAAGGAATGACTGTAAATATAAGTCGTAATTTCCCTATCAACTCAAAATAATTTTCCTTCATTAAATAACAATCACAGTACTCTTTAGAACAAATTTAAGTAAGTGAAGAGACTTGTTTATATGTCCATTTAGATTCCCTTTCCACTCTAATATGGAAACTTATCCATTAGTCATATTATTAAGTCATAAAATTTGTTGAAAAAAAGAACATTTTATTTTCTATTTTGTATTAAACACCAAGGGCAAGCACTTTTTAAAAAATTCATCCTCTTATCATTAAAATATGAGAAAAAATACTTATGGTAACCTATTTCACAAGATTCCTGTAAAGAATCAAATGAGATAATAGGTTAAAAAATTCTTGGCAAAGTTTAAAGACTGAATTCATTTGAATAATCATAATTTATTTTAGAAAGAATTTTTATTAGACATTTAAAGTGTGGTAATGATGTGTCTCTATAAAATTTATGGATGTGACTGGAAATTTTAAGGCGACATGAGATGGTGGGTTTGCATGACATTTAAGAAACATCTAGCTAAGGCTTGAACAATGTTTCATTCCATTTTAATCTTGAACATTTTTATTACATTATGCTTCTTAGGGAATTTGAGTTTCAAAAATCACCATAAATTTTGGCAATTACACTTTTAAGAGATAGCCACATATTTACTAAAAGTAGCCACACTCACTGGAAGGAGCCTCATATTTAGAAGAGTGACATTTTTCTGTTTAAATAACACCATGTCTGTTTCAAAAAGCAAATCAACCGCAAACGAGAGAATTTTGTTTTTGAAGTGGACCAATTTGTGCTGATCAATTTAACACCTCTTGGAAATGCTAGACTGAGAGTACTTTTTAGGCCAAAGTTTACTCTTGAATTTCTGGCACTACACACCAAATGATACTTTATGCCAAAATTATTACAATACAGTACCATAGAACCTCATTCATGGCCTTCATTTGTCCCACATCTGTGGGGAAGGTAATCACTTTTCTGTTCCTGTGGGGAAGACGGCCCTGGTCTCATTCGCCACCTATGAGGAGCTCATGAGCAGAAGGAAAGTTTTGCAGAACTGTTAGCAAACTGAAGCATTCATGAACTGAAGTATTATTGTATATTCTCAGTTTTAAACATATTTTTAAGGATACAAATTTATTTTTCTAAGCATTGTAACTAGCTACAAAGGATTTCTATTCTGTAGGAAGAATATATATATATTTTTTTTTCATTTGAGGAGGTTGGTAAATGTTTATTCATATTTTAAAGTGCACTTCTCAGGTTGGCACATGCTGTAATCCCAGCTGAGAGGCTGAGGCAGAAGGATTCAAAATTCATGTACAATGTGGGCAACTGGGGATAGAGTTCACTATGAAAGTTTGAGGTTTCATGTAGAGAGAGACAGAGAGGAGACAGAGAGAGAGGAGGGGGAAACAGACAGATTAAAGGGAAGGGAAAGAAACAGAGGAGAGAGGGAAGAAGGGAGAGGAGAGAAGAGCAGAAAAAGAAGGGAAGAGAGGAGAAGAGGAGAGGAGAGGAGAAAAGAGAAGAGAGGAAGATTTTAAAAATTACATTGGGCATTTTAAGTTTGAGTTTACTTTGTGGCTTTGGTCATTGTACATATCTTCTCTGAACCTTAACTGTGTTAACAAAAGGAATTTAAACACATAGTAAAACCCACTTAATGCGTTTGATCTGAGCAATTCATAGGTAGCAAATGACATGCATCAAGACAGGGCAACTAAGTCACACACAGCACCCACTACTGCTCACATTGCAAGTCTCGCCCTGCATTCTAGCCACCTGTTGTTTGTCTTTATTTTGCTCTGGACCACGGAGATGCGAGTGCACATCAAATCCACTGAGTATCACATAGGCTCAAAACTTTCTGAAGAGCCACTCTGGCTTGCTATAGAAAAGGTTTCAGCGTGCAAGACTTTTTATTAAGTTACCTGCAAGTATCCAGCAGTGAAATCTTATGCAAAGTCCCAGCTATAAACTAGCATGGTGACACAAAATCTGCTGTTGCATAGTTCAGTTTATTAAAACAATTTCGGGTATACAGGATTCAGGAAAATATATGCTAGGTTAAAGTTTTAAAGAGGTCCCTATATAAGAAAAGACCATCAGAGTGAAGTTTAGACCAATCCAAGGAAAAAAGGTGTTTAACTGCAGGACCAATTACATATCAGGAGCATGAAATCTACCCAATTTTCAATTACAAATGCTGCAGTAAATAGTTAAGACTGTCGCAGAAGGAATTAGAGGTTCTATTTCCTGTTTAGTGTTAATGCCAAGGGTGCATCCACTTCAATTTAAGCAACTTCCCTACTGGAGCACTCTGGTGCGTCTATAATTGGATAATGCGCTTCCTGCTTCACAGCAGAGTTGTTCTCCCTGCTCCAGGAATGTATTGATTCTTCCTTCACCTTCAGCTCTCACCCTCCACCAGCTGAGGGAGCAGGAGACCTTGGCACAGGGTCGGGGCGCGGGTTGCCCTGCTTCCCATGGCTTCTGGAGGCGACCTCTTTATTGATGTGGAGTAGGAGCCTCCGTGCCATTTACAGCAATTCAGCTGCACCAAGCTTCGTAGTTTTGTTCTGCCCAAGAAGTTCCAAGGAGCTTGCATTTTAATTAGTTACTTTTTTAAAAAGTTTGCTTGGGATAGATAAGACAAACAAGCTCTCTTGTGTTTGTTTTGTGTATTCCCTTATTTAAATGTTTTTTTCTAAGATACCTGTAAATATTGCAATGTTAATAAAACTTTCTTTCTTCCCCCCTCTTTTTCTTGTCACACACACACACACACACACACACACACACACACACACGCAGTCACACACCACTCCCAACACCCAGGGGATGCCATATGTCCCATGTGAGACCTCCTTGGGGAAAGTGAAGTGATGTACATATCACACGGTACCACTGGGAGAGGACAGTCGTCATCACTGGCGATGACAATTTTCTCACTCTCAAGACATGCAAATGACTTTTTTCATGTGTTCTTTTTATGTTATTTGCATAATTTTCTCCTGCAAAAATGAGAACTGTCAAAAATTAACCATTTGGGGCTTCCGCATTCAGCTCCATGACCTCTTTTTAGAGAACTGGATTTCTCTCCAGAAGAGGGGGACTTGTAACCCTGCATGCAGAAGGAGCAGCAGTGCTCTGAAGAGGGGCTCTTGTCAGAGAGAAGGGGTGCTGGTGGCCGGGGTCCCAGGTGGGTGATAGTGCAGGATCACGGATGAAAAGTTCTTGGATGTTTTTGGAAGCTTTCATTAACTTGGTTACTCTTTCAGTTAACAAATCATTTTTTTCACAGACAGTAGAGAATGCATCCCTGTCATAGGTCTCTCTCCTGAGATAGTCAGGTTAGCAGCATAATGTAAAAAGACTTTAGCACTTGGGATGCTAAGTGAAAACGCTGTTGGAAGAACCTCAAAAACAGGGTTCTGTGCTGTGTGGTTTGGTTTGACTGTTCCTGTCTGCACAAAATTGCCAGATATACTCACTTAATATGAATACTACCTTTTTAGAGAGTTGCACCCTGGGGGGGGGTCTCTGATAAATCTTTAAATTCATTTAACTTAGACAGAGGTTGATATATGTGGCAAGCTAGGGGCAAATACAAGTGTAGCTATCTCTTTTATCATGCCGCTTAAGCGTTTGTCAGCTTACTTGTCTAACAAATCAGCTCTCTATCAGTCTAGTAATCGGTTCACTGTTCCTTACAGCCAACACAAACGCATCTTGCAAAAACAGCCTGGCCAGGGAAAGCACATTTGTTTAAGTCTGGAAATGGCTAGCACGGTGGCTAATCTCCTTGCAAATTACACTGATAGTTGTAGTTCCCCCTTTCGGCAGGAAAAGACCAGATTCCCCGGTGGCCTGCGTTCCTTTCTGATTCCCGGGAGCCCCACCAAGCCCCTGCGTGGGTAAGTGACTCGTGTGGAGGGAGCATTGCTGGCTAATCAGGTCGATGAATGTGGCGGGCTCCGGGGACCGACGGGAGTCCATCAGCGCAGCTAGGGAGCCTCCAGACGTGCAAGCTGGGGAGCAGCTTGGCTAAGAAACACCGCTTGGTCCTCATTCACTCACCGGGAGTCTCTGAGGATTTCAGCTAATCTCTCTCCCCTTAGACAGTGAGGAGCTCAACATAAACAGAGAACGGAGCACAGCATGCCGCCACTTGGAGGGTGTTGATTGAAAACTTGGATCTCCCCCGACCCATTCACGGTTGATCTGACGGATATCTCACCACGTTCAGAGAGAATATTTCAATTAAGGTAAGTGCTGCTTTATCTGGGTGACTGCATGGCATCGCGCTGGATTTCTGCATTGAAAGTTCTAAGTGACTAAACTGGCATTCTGCACTGCAGCAAGCGACTGTTTATGTCAGGGAGAGGCTGAGTTTCCCGGCAAGTGTCCGAGAAGGAGAACTGGCATTTGTGCATAATGACATTTCAGAGCAATTATTTTGAAATAGAGTGATTCTGCCTTACATCAGAAGAATAGAAAAGGAAACGTGAAGAGAGACCTAGTTTCTCATTTTACCTTTTAATAAACTGTTTTTGAGGACTGTGCCTGGCTACAGATTTTGCATGAAGTGATTTGTTGGTATTATGGGCTAAAATCTGAGTCTGATAACTTCAAAGTTAATTAGGTGGAAAGAAATTTTGCAAATGAGAGTTGAGATTTCATGTAGCTTTTACTTTAGCAATGTTCCTCAGCTCACTTTAGATCTAAGGAATCAAGACTAAATCTGTGCTATTTTAACAATTTTCATTGTGAGACTAAAATTGAAATATTATTATTTCTGATTAAATTTCTAAGAAATTGAATCTGGAAAATTTAATATTTCATTAATATAATTGATAGCTCTCATAAGAGAATGGAGTCCTTTTCATATGATAGAGTAATAAATGGAACAGTAAAGAAAAATTAACTGCTTTCTGAAATGCTTCTTTATGAAAGGGATATATTTCATTAAAAAATTTAAGAGAATATGGTTAAGTTTTACTTTCAGATGTTTTTGATGTGGGGTACATTTTGTTCATCAACAGTGAAATGAAGTCTCTCTTACATTCAGTATAAATGTATGGCAATTTTCTCTGTAATTCAGAAAAACTAGTTCATGTTATTTCTTCTGTACTCATTTTTTTCTCATAAATTAGTTCATATTGCTTCTTCTTTATCCATTTTCCTCATAAGATTGTTATAAATATCTAGAGAGTTAATGAATGAAACTTTCCTCAAAGTTAGAGTTTGTTATCTGAACTTTCTCTTTTTTTCTTTAGTTCTCCAGACTTTGTGTGTGCATATTAACACAGACTTATAGTTTTATGCTAATTTTTAGTAAGTTACTGAGAAATCAAAAAACTACATCACTATAATTGTAAATGACCTATTGAGTACCGCTTTACATATAGGAAGAAAATAACTTTTTACCTTTGCATATTGTAGGGCTTTTAACATAAATTGATTTTCATACAAGAAACATTCATATAGCTAGACATTGCAATAAAAATTTTAAGACTTAAATTTCATAATCTGTAATGTTAATACAAAGTGTAAATTTATAGCTGCCTTTGTGTAAATATTTCTAATGATACCTTGAATTTGCTCTGTAGAGCGACCACTCGTATTTCCTGAAATGTTGATTGCGACTTCCTCTGTGCGAATCTTGATATGGGAGGTTTTGCAAAGATATAAGAGCACTTTATATTTGCTATCTTTCTGAAATTCCTTGGAGAGCTTTTCAGGCTGATATCAATGTTATTGTGGCTTACACTGGAATAAAATATTTGCAGGATTCCCATAGGCACTGAAGTGTAATTGCTGGTTGTATGTATCCAGCCAAGCCCTGAAGGCATTTGTCTACCTCTTTTGCATTAAGACTTTATTTTGTCTCTCTCTCTCTTTTTTTTTTACCCCCAGGGAGACCTTTATATCTTTTTTGTGCATATTTTTAGTACATGTGACTATATTTATCATGGGGAATTATTTATTTATATATATTTTTTTTATTTTACATTCTTTCCTCTTCTCTGTTTTCCTCTCACCATCTCTTGGACACATTCTCCTATAAACAAACATTTCTGCGCATGGAACTTATTGCATTCAAACAACAAATCATTTGTGATGCTGGAAGATGGTTTCTTGACAGATTCCATGGTAACTGCAAGAAGACTGTGTTGACTATGATGACTGCCAGTGAGACTTTGTCATTTTGTTGTTTCTCTCCTTTTTTTTTTTTTTTTCTCCTTGCAAGCAAACTTAGTAAACAGGAGAAACACCATTAACTAATCAAGGACACATTTGATACTAAAAAGCATATGCCCTACTGAAAATATCTGTGTACTATTTCATGTGCCAAATTCAAAACTGGTGATGGCATCAGGCTGCATAAATTTTTATAGATTTTTTTACCACTGAAGTTTATAACCAGTATATGATCATCAAAGCATGCATTAACTGTTTAATAAAATATGTGTGTCTAAACATGAAACCAGTTAAAGTTCTTATTCCAAAAGATCTATCCAGATATCTGAAGCAATTGTATCATGGCTGTAGTTGTCTTAATTTGCATTATGCAGACTGAAAAGCAAATGGAGAGCACCTTGATTTCAATTGAAAATTAGCAGCTGTTTATTGTGATTAGCACTCGCCTCTTACCTTTATATGATATTAGCGTATTTTCCTGAGTTGCCACCATACTTTTAGGTTCTGTATTTATTCCCACTGTTCATGCATTCATTTCTGCTACAAGGTCAGGAAATATCTTAAGGACAACCTCACTTAAACTAAGGCAATTGAATGTTGAATGAAAAGATCTATAAAAACTTCGTGGACTGGGGATTTAGCTCAGCGGCATAAGTGCTTGCCTTGCAAGCATGAGATCATGAGGTCGATCCCGGGTACCGATAAAACAAACAAACAAAAATCATAAAACTTAAAGTTATGTAATCTGCCCCTTGATATATGGTATTCTAAATGAAAGACTACGTAAAAGGCAATGTCCAACAAATCTTCCATGCCTCCTAAGTGTGTAAGAGCCAAGTAATAAACTTGCAACTATGGTTCTACAAACATCAAGTCAAAAGGCGAGCACTGCTGACTTCCTTTTTACAGAGAAGGAGATGGAGCTGGGTCAAGCATGCACAATTGAGATAATGAATACATGTGGATTCAAATTCATAGCTGGATATTGCAATTTAATATATATTACAACACATTTCTCTGTTACTTTACATTTGAAAGCTCCTTCCAATATCTACCATGATAAACACGAATATTTTCAGAATATTTTAAGCCAATGATGAATAGTTATATTACCCTTATAGTCATTTAACTGTTGGATTAATAAAATAAACATTTTTCGCAATCCTATGGATACCAATTTTTTTTAGAAAGGTGTGTAACATGTTCTTTTAAATTCTAAAGAGTTCTTTGTGGAACACTTTGCTTCTAGCTAATTCTGATGACTACTAACAGAAAGTACATCCTCTTGTGAATATAATATGAAATTTTAACTTGAGTGTTCGTGATACATACAGCATTACAGAAAACTAAACACACTTGGGATAAAATAACATATTTTTACAATTTCAACATGATATAACTTCAGTGCCACTTGAATTAAAATGTAATTCAAGGGAAGTTAGTGGCAAAAGATATGCAGAACATCAGAAAGACATCGAAACTGATAATTGGTATTGAATGTAGGAAGAAGACTTTAAATTCACATTTTTGGAAATACATTTTTCTAGTGACTTTATATAAATCCATCACATATACATACATGCGGTATAGCTAATCATGTTGAAATTGTGAAAATATGTTTATTCAAATAGAATTTGACCCACTTTTACATCAAAAGGAGAGCAATGTAAAATTAGTGTTGCCTTAGAAAATTTAATATGACGAGCTGTCACTTACAAAGATGTATTAGGTCGTAACTTGAAGTTAGGTTACATCTTTATAAATTATGATCATTTACTCCACTCAAGGACATTCCCAACTCTTGATTAGAAAGGAAAGAAGGAAGGAAGGAAGGAAGGAAGGAAGGAAGGAAGGAAGGAAGGAAGGAAGTAAAGAAAGAAAGAAAGAAAGAAAGAAAGAAAGAAAGAAAGAAAGAAAACAGATATTGTGAATAATATAGATATAACAATGATTAGAAACACAGTCAATAATATGTAGAATAATGTGTAGTCTCTATCCACAAACTTTTGATACTCTAGAGATTTGTTAAACTTGTATTATCCTAATTGTACTTTTGAATGTGGATCAAGGAAATATTATTTGAAAAGAAATACAGCCAATCGTATTGCTGCTATTATAAGCTCTGAGGAGTAAAATAAATAATTAGTCTCCCATATTTATAATCCCAGATACTCAGACATAGTAGTCATTTTTATAAACAGGAATTACTATTATTAGCCCCTCACTTTACTTGTCAAGTAGAGCAAATTCAAGTCATTCTCTCTTCCTTACAACAATGAACACTTTGGAATTCTCAGATTTACTTCCTAATACTGCATTTTGAGCAGTACAATTAGATTTTAGAAACATTTATTTTCCTTTACACTGGATTTACAGTGGCAGAAGGGTTTTTCTTGAAAAAAAAATGTTACATTGGGAGTTAGCTCAGAGAAACCTTCTTTTTGATGGAGTACTCATGTATGCTTTAATCCTTTACTATATTTCTTAAGAACAATGAAGGAAGCAATCAAATACTGAAAGCCAATCTCTTTGACTGCTCTTAGTCCACCACCTAACTTGAATTTACAAGAGTAAGGAGAATAGTTCCTGGTCTGTTTTGTTAAATAGAGCCTTACTGGAACATAGCTACTTACCTGAAGTAAGTAGTGTCAGTGTTGCAAAGTCAGCATTGAATGGTTGAACACAATGAGATCATAGAACCTACAAAGTTGAAGACATGTGCCATATCAGCTTCTATATGATGTATAGTATCACATTCTTGAATTTAATTCTTGAAGCACTGACTGATAAGTCTACAAAAAAGAGTCACTAACCGTAGTATTGAGACCTGTATAGATTGTGCCAGTAAAATGACAGTGTTTAGAAATGTGCCTTAAGCACTAGAGCTTTTTTAATCCCTCAGGTAACTCTACTGTGCACCAAAGATTAAGGGTTGCTGCTATAGACCAGCAAAAGCAGAACTTACAGGGGTATGCAAGCACTTTGGGGGATCTTATTCAATGATTTTGGAGCTTGGCTCAAGGCTCTGCATATTTCTAAAACTCTCTCAATAATGCTATGTTGT